CACACACACACACACACACACAAACACAAACGCAAACACGTACACACACACATACTATGTCTCTATGACTCCCATTCTTTTTTTTTTAATTTTATAGCCTAACCCTGACCACAAACCCTAAGGCTAACCTCACAGGTACCTACCTGACCCTAAAACTAACCTAAACTCAATTCACACCTTGGTCCTAAACCTAACCCCCAACCTACCAATGGCATTTAAACCAAATGGGGGCTCGACTTAGGTCCCCAAATGTAGGCATTTTGTCTTAAAATTGCCCCCAAATGTCACCTCACACACACACACACACACACACACACACACACACACACACACACACCACTTCTTTACATCAATATTGACTGTACGTTTTGGTATAAATTGTACTTGTCAGTGTTTAACAATCAGAGGCAGCAATGACTGACCATCTTAATCTGATGTTATTTTGCCTGCTACGATAATCTGTGTCAAGAAGGGCCAGGAGGGTTGAAGATGAGGATTATAGTTTCCACTCTGCTCAGTGAACGAGCTTTAAACAACTTCATACGTCAACCCACTAGATCTCCTCCTAATGACACAACATCCACACAGGAGGAGTCTTTAAGGGTAACCACTGATATGAATAAATATTACCTGCCGTGCAGTTAGGGTGTGTTTGTTCGTCTGTGCTGTTAGCAAAATATCTCATGAACCGTTTGACAGATCCTAATGAAAGTAATTGGAGAAATATTTACAGCTGATAACCTTTTGGAGACAAGATGGCCGCCACAGCAAATCAGCACAAACATTGCTGAAATTTGGTCCATTGGACAAATGTTGAGTTCAGATTTGGTAGTATCTGAGAGTGACAAACAGCTACACACACAACATCCTTGCTTAAAACTTTGATATTATTTGTTAAAGCGTGCCTGTCAGCAAAATATCCCATGGACCACTGGACACATTTTAGTAAAACTCTCACTGACGACGCTTAACTTCCAGATATCTGAAATTGAATTATGATCTGTCATGTTGGTTGTTTAAGATATCTCTAATTATATTTTGACTGGTCAAAATACCTATTTGAGATATCTCCAATTACATTTTGGCTAGTATAAATGACATCAGATTTACCATTGGGTTCTTTGGAGGCGTCAATTCAAGATATCTTAAAAGGAATTTTGACGAGTCTTTATTTGTTTTCAAGACATCCCAATTGTAGTTCTGACTAGTCATAATTCTAATTAAAGATATATTAAATTACATCATTATTCAAGATATCTTAATTGAACTTTTAGATATCACAAATAAAGGTTTGACTAGTGCAAATTCAATTACAGATATCTTACAGATAACACAAACTTTTATATGATTTTCACACGGTTTGATTTGTTACAAACAGCAGAGATTATGGTACAGAACACTGTCACACATCAAAATTATGAGCGTCCATGCTGAAATATGTTCTTTAACAAAGACAGACAAGTGTAGCATGGCATATTAATAAAAAAATAAATGAATTAAAGGTGGTTGATGGATGGTTGACCCTTCAAATTATTAAATGAGTGACTTAAATTTAGATATCTTGAATTACATTTTGACTAGTCAAGATTCCTTTTACGATATCCTGACTAGTCAGAATGTAAATACATCTTAAATTACCATTCAGGATAGTCAAAACGTAGTTGTTCCTAGTCAAAACTCATTTTTAAATATCTAATGTATTTCCAGATAGTCAGACGAAGCCGATTATATGCTAAAATAGCTTGCCACACAGCCAATAAGGTTGGGGCCATGGAGGCCCTTTAGCCTAGGGCCCCTGTGCCTTAAAACGGCCCTGGTTGATGGGCATTCCCAGTGTTTACAGAGCTCTAGATCTCAGAATGAGACAATACAAGGTTTGACCAAAACAAACAGAACTTCACCTCTCAACAGGTAAGAGGAGCTGGCAATTAATTTGCATTTTCTGTGCTTTGTTCTCTTCCTGGTAACCTGTTTGTTTTTTCTAAACATATGTTAGCCTTTTAAAAAAAATGCTTCTCGTTCGGTCACATTTTAAGAGCCATGTTCGTGACAACAGAGAACCAGCTGAGCTCAGCTTCCCCTCTCCTCCCTCCCTCTTTGTCTGCTCGTTTCTTTGCCTTCAAGGGTTTTACCACCCGACGACCTGCTCCGGAAGGCCTGTGATTGGTTGGCCTGTGGTGAGGGGGCGGGGCTTCGGCAGTGTTGAGGCAGCTCTCAGCTGTCACAGAGCACTCAGCCTGCAGCAGAGCGAGGATCATCTGCTGCACCAGCTCATATCCAGCTTTACCATTTAAATCACCTGAAAAATAAAATATAAAAACATATATAATAATAAAGACTTTCTGTTTAGACCCACAGCTGCCACAGAAACATCTCAGAGGATTTTAAACCAGAGCTGTTTCTTCTGCTTCTCCTCCTGTTTCCATCTTCCTGCTCTTTGTTTTCAATCGTCACTGCAGCAGCTCCTCGCCCGGATCCCTGCGGACCTCAGGACTCTCCGGGACTGCTGATCAGTGTGACAGGGGGGTCCCATAGTGGTGTGTGCGTCTGCGAAGAGGCTGATGCCCGCGGTGGTGTGGCCAGAGCCAGAGGAGGATGAGTCCGGCCATGGAGGCAGACAGAAGGCAGAAGCAGCTGAAGCAGCAGCAGCAGTGCTACATGGACAAAGGGGTGATGCTCGAGCCCTTTGTGCACCAGGTGGGGGGCCATTCCTGCGTCCTGCGCTTTGGGGAGCAGACCATCTGTAAGCCCCTCATTCCCCGCGAGCATCAGTTCTACAAGAGCCTGCCTGCTGCGATGAGGAAGTTCACCCCCCAGTACAAAGGTAGGGTGTTCTGTTTGTTATGTTGCATTAATCCTGCTTCATCCCACAGATTAGATTTTTTTAAGAGTGGATATTCTTTGTAAGCATCTGTGTTTGTACAGTGAGAAAGGTACATGTTAAGATTTATTTTTAGATGTTTATCTGCCTTTAAGGGGGATGTTTTTCAGACTTTAACTAAACAGAGCCACACGAGGGCGCTGTGTTTGAWTGTGAGCAGGAAAATCTATAATTTGGTGAAAATTAGTGGTGCTGTCCTGTTTGTAAAATGCCTGTAATAACCTCAGGTATGTCAGCTGAAGGTGGGAGTAAGGGAGATTTTTCCTGACTAAAAACTAAAGTGGTTTAGTAGATAATTGTGTTCTCAAAGCTCCCAAAATACGCTCAGTTTTTTAAAAAACACTTTAAATTAGTTGTAGAAACAGCTGGTTAAACTTGTCAGCCCCTGAAGATCTCATCTGTACACCTCACACACTTTATTCACTTTTGTACAAAAAGATCCCAACACTTCATATCATCTTCACACAAGAGGAGTTTAAAGAGAAATTGAAAAGTGTTTTTAAGCTTAATGTTAGTTGTATCCCTCAGCAGAGAACTGCACATTAAAACMCAACGTTCACTTTTTATGTTTTTAATAAGAGGTGTATAAGGTAGCCTACCTGAAAAAAACTAAAAATGCCTTAACAGAAAAAGGAATTTGTGTAAAAATGAATTTAACTGAAAGAAGTACTTAAATAAAATTGTCACAATAATGAGGACAGTAAACATGCTGAAGTGAGGTGTTGAATTTGAGTAAATATAAAGCAATTTACACATTTCTTAAAGAAAATGTGTATATTTCTCAATTTGCTCAACTCGGTTTAGTAAGTAAATTCAGCTTGTTTTTGATGATTTACAGTCACATTTAAATTTGTTTTGTGTAACGAGATGTTAACTTTTAAAGGAAACAAGTAAAAGTGTCCTTTTTATGTTTTGAATGAAATGAAATAGAAGTAAAATTTATGATTTAAAAAAGGTATTTGTAAAACTAAAGATCCTCCAAAAACATAAGTACTGAAGCAAAGTAAATGTATTTTGTTACTATGTACCTTTCATATTTCATATTCAAGTTTTGTCTCTGCCTTCCTGTACAGTTTTGTTTATATATTAATTTCCCTTTCTCAAGCCATACTGTACATGAGACTGTAGTGATGATGATGATGATGATGATGATGATGATGATGATGATGATGATGATGATGATGAGTGTCTGTTTCTGATGGAAACTAGCTGATTTAAATACAAAGGGTTTGAGAATTAAGGAAGTTTGAGTCAGATTGAGACTAATTTTATTTTGGTTCCACTTCCTTAATGTGAAACAGAAAGCAAAATTATATAATAATTAAACAATCGAGTTCATTAACTGTTCATTAATAATCTTATTTTATCTTTGAGAATCTTGTGAAACACTAGGAAACTAGTCTTTTTTTGTATTTTGGCTGTTATTTGATATATTTGAGCACTCGGTGCCTCTGTTTCCTTCAGTCTTGTGAGTCATAATTTTCTTCAGCTGCTTGGCCTAAAGTAAGGTTTGAATGTGAGACATGCTCTTGTCTGCTCCTCGGAGCCGTTGTTTTGAAGAMATCCTGACGCCTTCCTCCTTGCTCCGGCCTCAGGTGTGGTGTCGGTGAGCTTCGAGGAGGATGAGGAGGGGAACCTCTGCCTCATGGCCTACCCCATGCACAGCGACCCAGCAGCAGATCTAGAAAACAAGGAGCACACGGCGGACTGCGAGCCGAAGAGTAAGATGGTCAAATGGGGGAAAGTGATGGCGTCCTCCCTGCTCGCGGAGAGCGAACACTACAGCAACGAAGGCCGAGGACGCCACTTCTGCAAAGACAAGGACCAGAGGTCAGACCGAAATATCCAGTTTATACTCGACACAAAAAGTTCGTAAATTAGTGTTTGGAAGATTATTCCTTTGTTGCAATGCTTCTTGGCAATAAATCTTAATTAGAAGCATGTGCACAACCACATATTCAGCTATACTGTTCATCCCACAAATGCATGTTCCTTACAAATGTGGCACCATTTATTAACAGGCTTTCCAACAGTRTAAGATTTATTGCCAAGAAGTATTGTTACAACAAAGAAATCAGCTACCATACAGTAATTTCTTTATGTTTTGACAGYCATAATGCAGATTGTGTGTTCACATTGATCCCAAACCTCATGTAGAGTGGACTGAATTGAATGAATGTTCAAGCTGACAGCCAGGAGATGTTTTCAACATTAGTTTGTCATTGATTCGCTTTGACTGATAGTGAAGGGCCTCCGCTTGTGTCTCCCAGTGTCCACAAGCTGCAGGACGACCAGGAGTCGGAGTGGCTGCAGCAGGCCGAGGGGCTGCATTACATCCTGGAGCACAGCTACAGCAACGCCGTCCCACATCTCAAACACAACCCCTGGAGCCTCAAGTGTCACCAGCAGCACCTGCAGAGGATGAAGGAGAACGCCAAGCACCGCAACCAGTACAGTATCCTTCACGAACCCAGTGCCGCCGCTCCTCTAACTCTCATTCGTCACACGTTGTTGTTGATTATCAAGCTAACGAAGCCACTTGATACATGCAAATGTTTACCAGAGGCTTCAGCTCGTTCCTGAAACCTGTCATCAAATCCAGTGTTTGGCTATTGATTTCTCAGCCCAGAGGAGCTGTGTTTCAGAGTCCTTCCCATCAGCTACTTGATATCTCACTGATAATGGTGTAAGTAGTAAAACAGAAGTGAAAAAGCTTGTTTATATTGTCTTCCTTGACTCGGCGTGTCAGAATGCATCCTGTTAGAGAATCTGACATGGCGACACTCGGTGCCGTGCGTGTTGGACCTGAAGATGGGCACGCGGCAGTATGGCGACGACACCTCTGAGGAGAAGAAGGCCATGCATATCCGCAAGTGCCAGCAGAGCACCTCCGCCTCGATAGGAGTCCGTCTCTGCGGCATGCAGGTCAGAGGAGTGCACAGAGCTCTGTTCTTAACAAAGTAGCAGAAGCTACTCAAAACAAAAACATAAAGTAAAAAAAAAAATCTGCTCACTTTTTTTTCTTGTCAAGTGTGTTGGTTTAAAGTGATGGAAAAAGAGTTTTGTCTTCAAAATAGGTTTTGAAGACAAACAAAACAAAATATATCTATAATAAACAACAGGTTATGAGTTCTTCCAATATTGTGAATATCCAATAAGTCTGTAGCAAAGACAACAAAGATTGTGATTAAAACAGTAAACTCACAGCTTTAGAAAAAACGTTTTTTTTTATCTGAGCTCAGTTTTTACAACGCTCTGCTTGATTCATGATATTTCTTCTTTCTCTTATTACTAGTTTTTCTTTTTGCTCTTAGCACAACATTCACTTTTATATTTCCACCTAAACATTTTTCTTTTCTAATTTGTTTACCAACACAAACCTCAGTCAGCCTAATGTAGGCCAGCCACGCCGCTGAAGCTTCCACAGGAATTTTGGCAGATTTTTTCGAGCGTGCGCCTGACTTTCAGAGTTGCATGTTAAAATATCTGGAAAACTACTGAAATAAACACTTTAAAACTTGACCGTTTGACATACTTTAAGATGTTATGTTTAAATTTCATGCATTGCTATGAGAAGAAATATGCCAAAGCTTTAAATAATAAAATCAATACTGCTCTTATTTGTCTGTAGCCAACAGGCAGTGAAAACATCAGGTGTTTGACCTTCCTTTTTGCAGCTAAATCCTTTTTACATAATAATTATTTTGCAGGCTTAACAAAATTAAACTGATAAAAGCTTGATGTTTTGTGATGCCTAAACAGGTTCCATACATCAAACTGGGTTTCAGTCAAAGTCCAAAAATAGCCACAGGTTTTTAATTCCACTTTTTTCCTATGGAGAACAATTGTGTGAGAAAGTCGTGTAATTAAATCAGATAGAACAAAACTATACTTACTACAAAAAGTTAGGATTTTTTTGTTTTATAGCGTATTTGTTGTAACCATGCTTCTTGGTTATAAATCGTATAATAGGCACCTGATTGTAGCAGAAGCTCAAAATAGGTTTCAATAAAAACGATTAAGAAAAAGATTAAGCTATTTTTTTCATGTGCACAACCTACACACTCAGCTCTACTGCTCATCTCACAAATGCATGTTCCTTTCAAATGTGGCACCATTTACAGAAAAATTAACAGACTTTCCAACAGTTTATTCATTGCCAATAGGCATTGTTACAACAAAGAAATAATCTATATTTAATAGAATAATTTATATTTTTTTCTTGCATTACATTTTCATTATTCTGTGTTTCCTGGTCCCTGCAGGTGTATCATTCTGACACTGGGAAGCTGATGTTCATGAACAAATACCTTGGCCGCAAGCTGACCCCGCCTGGGTTCAAAGAGGCTCTGTTTCAGTTCTTCCACAGCGGGCGGCGTCTCCGCCACGAGCTGCTGACCCCGGTGCTGAGCAGGCTCCGGGAGATGCAGGCCGTCCTGGAAGCCTGCGAGTCGTACCGCTTCTACTCCAGCTCCCTCCTCATCATCTACGACGGAGCGCCGCACAGGAAGCACAACCGCCGACGCACCGAGGACGGCCTCTCGGAAGACGAGGAGGACGAGGAGGAGGAGGCGGAAGCCGAACCACAAATGGATGAGGGGGAAGACGAAGGGGACGGGGAGAAGGAGGAGGAGGAGGAGGAGGAGCGGGGCGAGGTGGCCGGTGCGTTCGGCTTTCCACACAGCCCCACCGCCTCCGGTGACTGCAGCGACGGCAGCAGCGGGGGCTCGGGCTCTGGACGGGCTCGCCGGTCCCGCTCGGACCCCCGCAGCCCTGTGGTGGACGTGAGGATGATAGACTTTGCCCACACCACCTGCAAGCACTACGGCGAGGACAGCGTGGTCCACGAGGGCCAGGACAGCGGCTACATCTTTGGTCTCCAGAACTTGATCTCTATTATCTCTGAGCTGGAGAACCACAGCACAGACTGAACTCTCAGATCAATCAATCAATCAATCAATCAATCAATCAATCAATCAATCAATCAATCAATCAATCAATCAAGCACAATGACAAACGCTCAGACCTTTGGCAGAACAGAGGAGCAGACTTGTAGCTTTTTATACCGTCCCTTTTTCTGCCATCGGGGCTTTTATTTTATTTTATTTTATTTTTGGTTTTCTCGTTGCGGTTTTGTCATCAGGGTTTAAAACCCAACTTCAAGTAGCACAGAAAACCCGTCTGTGTGAAGGATTTGATCCGTGTGTCATCRTCACCCTGTTTTAACCCTCCTAACCATCAAGAAGAAAGGGCAGGGAGTAACAAAAGCCATTCGACGTTTTGGGATTTCTTGTGTCAGGTTTCCAAAGAAAGTGTCATTTTGCACAAACAGCCTGAACGACTTTCTGCAGAGCGAGCGTTCAGACYGAGACAAAGGCTACGAGAAGGAGCGAAGAGTCGTGTGAAGGCGGAGATAATGTTCGATCTGTTATTCTTCTTCCCTCGCTTGTCTCCTCCATTCTTTTAATTCTCAGAGAAATGATGTAGAGATATATTTATTTTTGCTTCATAGAAGGGTGGAGAGTAAAACATTCCTTAATATTAATGTTAMAATAATGATATTAAATAATATTGTTATTTGACATGTTTGGATACCTCTTTCTTGTTTATCTGTGTTGTACACATTTTATTGAAGGGGAATTAAAAACTTTGTGGTAACAGCRGCGTCTCCACTTGTGTCTGTTGTTGGAAGGGCAGGGCAGGCTGAGAGGTACTTCTTGTTTTGCATGAAATTTAAATGGCRCCCAGAAACAAATTTTATGCAAATGTTCACCATTTCTCTTTTTTTCCCTCGGCGTCAGTGAGTGCACATTCACTTTAAAAGAATCCTTTGTGCTCGTAAAAAATAATTACAAAGTTTAAAACCGGTTGAGCTTCCCCCTCATGACTTGTTCGGCTCAAAGTTTCTGCAGAAATGTGCAGCGACTGTGCAAGAGGAATCATGGTTACCGCAGCGACCACACACCTGTGTCTGTCACTCCCTGACTGCTCTGTCAGTGAGAGGAGGACAAGCGCACTAAAAAGTTAGCCTCAAACAGTCACTGTGCAAAAACTACAAGCTGGATCTTTACAGGTCTTGAACCGTGAACGCTAGAAGACTCGTTTAGTGACACACGTGAATTTTTATGTTCCTTCAGTACTTTATGACAAGTTAAAAAGATCCTCCTTGACATGTTTTAGGGGAATATTTTGAGTTCAACAAGTCTTTGGAGGCTTGAGTGTACACTTTCTGCATTCAGTGGGGATTTGAGAGAAAATTTAAAGGGGGTATTATGCACTTTCCAGCACATAATTCAATTCTATACCACAATCAAATAACTATGTTACCTTCAGTTGTTATTAAAAAGCTGTATATATCAAAAATATATTTGACTTTGCATCATAGTCTATCTAAATGCCTTGAAATTGGTCTCTGACTAACAGCCTCCTACCGTTTCAGACGCTTCCACTTCAGCACGTTTTCACAACAATGCTCTGTGGGGCAGGCGCTCGGCTGCAGACTGAGCTCCAGGGAGGACCTCTGTGTAAATAGTTTATATAAATAAATTTATATAATATTTTTAAAATATATTTTGTTGTCTCTCATTGGGGAAATTATTTTTCTGCAGATTTTCCATCGCACATGTGAGCACACTTGTGGAGCAGTAGCAACTAGGGACCTTGCTCAAGGGCCCAGAGTGGGTCAGACGAGGGTTTCGAACCTGTCGGTTCCGGGAATTGAACAGCAGAATTTTGTTAAAGCTCACATTCTGGAAAAATATATAAAAAAGAATAAATAAGGTCTTAGACCAGGGGCGATCAWACTGGGAGGGCCAAAATGAAAACCTATCTGAGGGCTCTGGGCCAAATGCAGTAATATAATACATGAAATGCAAATACTTTTTTTAAAGAGAGGCCTTTTATTTGTCAGAATTAAGCTAGCAGCCAGTTTGGCGGCCCATCTTTTGTTTTTTGTTTTTTATAGCCTGTGTACTTGGAGAAAGTTTGATGTGCGCTCAGGCAACAAAGGCCGATGGGACATTTCATTGATAAAATATAAGTATTTGTGGTCTTAAAAAAAGTATTCAAATCTACATATGTGCTTAAATCTAATCTAACTGTATCTTACATCTTATATGTATCTTATAGTTACTTGTATTTCATGTTTAATAAGTTAAAGATAAAGTAAGCACCATGAGTGAAAACTTTGGGCCAGTGGATGAAATGGCTGTAAGTATAAATACATAAATAATTCTGCAGGACGACAGGAGATTACAACCTGAGCAACTATTGGCGATCCAAATCGATTACTTGATGGGTCAGTTTTGGCCCACGGGCCTCACTTTGGGCACCTCTAGAAGAATTCAAAGGTTACTGAGACATTATTACCTGTTGGTGAAACAGTTTGTAGATGTGAGTAAAAAAAATAAAAATAAACTGTAATTGTGCAAAAGCCATAAAAGATGTCAAAAACACCAGCTGAGTCACTGAGTTCAAACTTTAAATTGTGTTTCTAGAAACACAAATGGGTTTTGTGTTTTCCTTTAATCAAACTGACCTTTGATCATTCTTTCACAATTGTTGCAAGTTTGATCAAATGTGTTCGACGTACCACTATGAAAAGTTATCGCACATTATTCCCAGTTGAGATGCATGTTTTTGTGTTTGATTCAAAGCCACATGACAAAATACAGGACCAATATTTTAGAATCCTGCCAATATGTCTCAAATTAGTCCACAGCTTTGACTCCGCACTGGTTTTTTAGAGTTTTTGTTGGAGAGATGATGATGATGATGATGATGATGATGATGATGATGATGGTGATGATGATGATGGTGGTGGTGATGATGATGATGATGGTGATGATGATGATTATGATGATGATGAAGGCGCCATGGGGTCACCTCCAACTGGTTTGAGGCAGATTGTGGAGAGTGAATCATCTGCTCTGAGTCAGAGGCACATCAGCGCTTTGTGTTTGGAGATAAACAAAGAAATGAATACAAAAGCTCTGGAGCAGATGGTGGTTTGTGTCAACAGTGTGTACGGACCATTACCGGTCTGGTGTCTTCTCTGGAATGTGAGACGCTGCTGGCACCGAGCCAGCCGTCAAACATCAACCAAAGGTCGTAACGTTTTTATGCCGGCTGAAAAGTAACTTCACTTTTTAATGCACTGTAGTCAGCTGTGACTAATGTCTATTTTCTGATTAAAATAGATGACATATGATGGTTTTTCTTTTAGCACTAATGCATCAAGATGCAAGTTTATTTCATGGATGATTCATAACTATTCCATCAAGCTTGCTGGGTTTAATGTTGAGTCTGAGTTTTAAAACTGCTGACTCGGGCCGTTTTGACCTGCCTGTCAGGTCAGACCGTGATCCGTGTGAAAGATATGATTTTCTCATGTTCATTATTAAGAGCTGCACAGTGGTGTGATTGTGTTGCCATTCAGTGAGGTCAGCTTGGGCCTTTCTGTGGAATTCATTTGCAAGTTCTTTCTGTGCATAAGGTATTCCCATTTCCGCCATGTTGAAAAAAATATATTCATGTTCGCGTTTCAGATATCCTGGATTCATGGACGGGCATATTACTACTGATTATTATTAAAGAGAAGCCACTTGTCATAATTTATGCCATTCTTATTTAGACTGTGAAAATGTTTTTATTTTATTATCATTGTTTCATTAATTTCATGTTTACCTGGATTGTTAGAGGGCAGCACAGTGGAGCAGTGGCTAGAGCTGTGCCTCACAGAAAAGGTTGCAGGGTTGCTTTTTTGCCCAGGAGCTTCCGCTGTGGGGTTTATAAGTTTTCCTAGTGCATTTCTCATTTAGACTGTGAAAATGTTTTTATTTTATTATCATTGTTTCATTAATTTCATGTTTACCTGGATTTGTGAAGGGCAGCACAGTGGAGCAGTGGTTAGAGAGCAGCGCAGTGAAGCAGTGGTTAGAGAGCAGCACAGTGGTGCAGTGGTTAGAGAGCTGCACAGTGGAGCAGTGGTTAGAGAGCAGCACAGTGGTGCAGTGGTTAGAGAGCAGCACAGTGGTGCAGTGGTTAGAGAGCTGCACAGTGGAGCAGTGGTTAGAGAGCTGCACAGTGGAGCAGTGGTTAGAGAGCAGCACAGTGGAGCAGTGGTTAGAGAGCAGCGCAGTGAAGCAGTGGTTAGAGAGCAGCACAGTGGTGCAGTGGTTAGAGAGCTGCACAGTGGTGCAGTGGTTAGAGAGCAGCGCAGTGGAGCAGTGGTTAGAGAGCAGCACAGTGGTGCAGTGGT